TCTCTCTCACTCTCTCTCTCTCTCTCTCTCTCTCTCTTTCTCTCTGTCTCTCTGTCTCTCTGTCTCTTTCCCTCTATCCCGTCTCTGCTTTTTTCTCTCTTTCTACATCTATTTCTTTCTCTCTCGCTACACTTAAAAAACGGACAGTTGAAAAAATATTGGATAATCAACAAAATAATAGTAGATTATATCATGAAAATGTCTTAGAAAGTAAGTTAGCCGTGGTAAAAAAATTTTATGAACTGGATTTATTAAAGAAAAATAGTCAGCTGTAAATGAAGCAACAGCAACAGCAACAACAAAAATCAACAGCACTGTCAGCAACAAAACCCTAAAATCTGTAGCTTTGTACAATATTTATAGATCTATAATATCATTATAAACAAGCGGTAATCTTTTCTATTGCAGAAAAGATATTTGGGGGAATAATATAAGTGATATATATTCCGGAACGTTTAGAACGAAATTGCAAACTTAACGATAGAAGAAAACTCTGAAATTGCAATAAATGATAGGAAAAGAGACCAGAAAATGATGACAAAATGAAAAATAAAAACAAAAACAAAAAGAACAGTAAACCCCCCCCCCAAAAAAAAACACAAAAAAAACAAAACAAGAGGAGAAAAGGAAGAGGGTGAAGGTAGTGGTGGTGGTGGTGGTGGTGGTGGTAGTGGTGGTGGTGGTGGTGAAGAAATCGTGGCCACAAAAAAAAAAAAGATAGAGAGAAATAAGCAGGAACGCGGAAAGACCGAATTCTCCAGAAGTACATGTCTACGTCTGCGCAAATCTCAAGTTTAGCACCGCGGAATAACAAAATACAAGCCGGGCTTTTAGGGCAGCACACAGTTGATTGTATCTAATGACGCTCAAGTAAATCACAGTGCGCTACCCGTCGCTTCCTAATGGCGTATGAATACAGTACACCCCCCAGCCCAGCCTCGCCTGTTGACAGGGTTACTCTTCCCCAGTCACTTCACTCCAGCGAACCCGCGCTAAGCGGTGAGAGGAGAGGAATTGACAACTCCATTCGCGGTTCACTTCCGAGGAGCAACGGCGTTGATTGACGGGGAACTAGTCAGCTCTGATTGGCTGAGAGCGGTGCAGGCGACAAGAGGCGGGCAGGGCGAGCGACGAATGAGAGCGGTGGTTGCTCGTCAATGGTCTGTCGTGTATCAGTCACTGGCGCGAGGGTGTTAGAAACTATCGCTTGTGGTATAACCACGGGGTCGCTCTCTCGTCCCGACATAATATTACTTGAACCGAAACGCCTCCCCCAGCACTCCAGCCTTCTCGGACACGGATAGTATTCGGAGAATAAAATATACACCACATCAACTGATCCTGGACTCACAGACTGTATTTGTCTTCCGAAGGAGGAAGGTCCGTCCATCCATCCATCGGAAAGTTAATTTTTTTTGTGCGTTGACGACAAAGCTTTGAGCAACTTGACAGAGAGGTAGGTCTGTCGACTTTCAGAAGTTACTAGCTAACTATAACGACAACTGCTAGATTCTAGCCCGTTTCCTTTCTTCACCCTTCGCGATTTCAGCGAAGGCTCCGCGGTAAATGGATGGATCTACGATGCACTAACAAGCTCCCTGTACCCACGGGTCTATCGCCGCCTCACTCGGCCAAAGCTCTCTCAATGTCTGCAGCTGCAGCAGCAGCAACAGCAGCAGCAGCAGTAGTAGTAGCAGTAGTAGTAATAGTAGCAGTAGTAGTAGAAGTAGTAGTAGTAGCAGCAGCAGCAGCTGCCGCGGCTGCAACCTTCAACTTCCCCAATGGATTTCCCGCAGCAGCGTTTCCAGCGGCCAATGCGGCCATGTTCGGCCTGTACGGGCTGGACGCACCCATGCCAGCACCCTTACCCTTACCCATCCTACACTTCACTCCGCACCAAGTCGCCAAAGTCTGCGAGACCCTGGAGGAGTCCGGAGACATAGAGCGTCTTGGCCGCTTCCTGTGGTCACTTCCGGTCAACCCGAGCGCCTGTGAGGCCCTCAATAAGCATGAGTCGGTCATCAGAGCACGCGCGCTTGTGGCCTTCCACACGGGCAACTTCCGGGACCTGTACCACATTCTGGAGCACCACAAGTTCACCAAGGAGTCCCACGGAAAGTTGCAGGTTCGTACATGATTCTAGGATGGTTAGATTCCTCATAGAATACCTTATAGATATAATATGTAAATTGTAGGATGGCCATTGTCTTCACAATACACGTAACATGTACATTCTCGGCTGGGTATGCTTTTTGTATAAACACCCTAGATATACCTTGTAAGATGGCTAGACTCCTCAACGAACACCTTATAGATCTATGTACTTTGTAGGATACCGGACAGCTAGACTCCTCATAACACACTACATATCATCGAACTCCTTATATGTACATTGTACGCTGGCTATAGTCTTTGCCTTACATGCATATTTTCGGTCGGCTGTAGTCTTCGCATTGCACATAACACGTACATAATGTGTACCACAAACAATTCTATAACATTTGGCGTATATTTTAGGCTGGCTACAGTCTTTATATAACACTTGGCATGTACATGTACAAATAATAATAATAATAATAATAATGATGATAATAATAATAATAGTAATAATAATAATAATAATAATAATAATAATAATAATAATAATAATAATAATAAAAAAGATCAAGTTCCATGCGCTTTACCACACTCCTCAATATAATGCCAGAAGATCGTCATAATAAAACTCTTGTCACTAGATGCACAATCTATCTCACAGTACATAAACAATCTTGTTTTAAGGACAAAAAGTAAACGTTATTTATTATTTTTCTTTTTCAGACCCAAAATACGTACGAAATTTGATAATTTGATAACTTCTTCAGACGAAAAGTGAACACAGTTTTATAGTACTTTTCAGACAAAATATAAACGCAGTACCGAGTATTGAATTACTTGTATTACTTTTTCAGTCAAAAAGTCAAAATAATTAATTTTGTATCATCCTTTCAAACAAAAAAATGAGCGCAATTTTTTATCCTTACTTTTAGAGACAAAAGGACAATGCAATTTAATACTACTTCATCAGACAAAAAATAAAAACAAAAACAAAACAAAAAACAATTAGATCTACGTCATAATGCATGTTTCTGTCAACAAAATCACTTGGTGAAAAATAATATTATTCGACTTTACCAAACGATTGGTAATCAAGTATCGTTTATATTGTTTCAATTTCTCAGCATATCTCAAACTAAAAAAAAAACCACACACACAAAAAAAGCTGAATACACATTTATCTGAAAAGATTCAGTACTAAAATATTGTAAATGTAGACACTGAAACTGAGAATGGAAAAGGTTGCCTTGAAAAACAAATTCTTACATTTTTTCTCTTTCTAAAAAATGTGTATTTCAATCAAAGTTTAAAGATTTAATTCTGGTTTTAAATTAGTCCCACGAAGTTTCCCATTTTGCAAACATTTTAACCATTTAATATCACCAACCCACCTTGGAACAAAGACAAGACAATTCATATTTAATACAATGAAATAGCCGAATTTTTATTCTGTCATGACTTTCCACATCTCACGGGTGTAGAGTTGAAAATACATAATATTTCTAAATAAATTATTCAATTTATTGCAAAATAAAAATCTTCTATACTTTCTTCTTCTTGTTTTATAAGTATTATAAGTTGAAAAAATAACTCCAAGCCAAGAAGTAACCTTTGGTCAGATTTCTTTCGAAGTGTGTTGTCTTAAAGAATATTGTGTGTTATTTATTCAAATAAAATTGAACACTGGAAAAAATGTCTGAGAATTTTAAAGAAGATTTATTAATTAAGATCTGTCAGCAAATGAAAGAAAGAGAAAGAGAGAGAGAGTGAGAGAGAGAGAGAG